GGGGGGGGGGGAGAGGTCTGTCCTGAAAACAAGGTCGCCCATTTTATCTCTTTGGACTCTAATTACTGAATTGCTTACCACATGACTTATTCACTTTTAAGCTGCCTCCTTTCCTGGACAGCATCTGGAATACGATGTGTTTTGTTTTGTTTTTTAAAGCCCAAACTTTAAATGGTGGAAAATCATATGCTTGGAAATACTTATTGAAAACACTCTTGCTCCTTTACTCCCTTCAAATATTTTGATCATTGGTTTATCAAACCTTGATTTTTCTCTCCCGTTTTTCCCCCCCCCCCCCTCCCGTCGCCCCCTTTCTTTCCCCCTCAAGTTAGTTCAAGAAGTCAGATCTGTCAGGACTGGAGAAAAAAATGCCACTTCCCGACTAACAGGCGGAATCCAGCCCAGATTTTCAGTCCTTTCTTTGCCCCCCTCCCCCTCCCTCTCTTTCACTAATTTTCCCCGATGTTAGCACATTCTGCCTTGTAACAACCGGACGCCTGTAGGTTTGTTTCATGGAATCATTACTTACTGATCAGGATGGCTGTAGAATCTGGAACTGAAGACGGAATGTGAAGTTGGGAAAAAACATTTTGCAATTTTTATTTTTACTACAATCATATCTTGGTGTTTGCTCAAGCAGGGAAGGGGAAAAAAGCTATTTTGGTGCTTGAGGCTTCTGGTGTTGTGAATGTGAAATACTATCTTCCAGCCTGCGAAGTTGTGAGGAACAAAATCTTTAAAAGAGGAAAACCAAATCAAAAAAAAAAGGGGGAAAAAGACTTCTGGTTCGTGTGCCAAAGTGAAGGGAGATATGTTATTCACCGATCGCTCTGGCAGAAATGTTAGTTGGTTTCTACTTCTTGTTCACTTGCTCTTTAAGTAAAATGAAATGGGGCACTGAGTTCTTGCTGATAGCAGTGAGGACAGATTTTTGATTTGCTGGCTTAATTAAAAATGATAAAGGATTAAAGGTAAGCAACGTATATAATATGTATGTAAATATTTGGACACCAAATCATTCCTTTAAAAATAATTTTAGCTAAGCTGTGTCAAGCACACTCATTTGTGGTTAGAGGCCACCTTGGTGTAGATCATTTAAAGTGTATGTCTTAATCAGTTTCCTGTACAGTCAGTAATACTGTATTTAACAGACTGAGCTATAAGTGACCTAAGAGGACATTGGAGGCACATCTATGAATGTTATCTTGTGTGCATTTTAAATTGGAATTATGTATTCTCCTCCCTAGTTAAATTTTTTGAAATTAACACACTTCTGTTGGCTCTTTTTGTTGTATTTCAGGGCTGTCCTCTGTGTCTCTCCTGCTCCTCAGAGAACAAGCTAATCAGATCTAGAGAAAAGTCACATAACTTGAATGAGTCTGGTTTAAAATTACAAAAATCTGTGAAAATGCATTTGGGAGGGAATTGTCTTTGTGCCTAGGTGGTGGCCCAGAATCACACTCCCTGTTTTATATTTTTGGGGGGCTTTGTGGATTTAAATTCTGCAATTTAAAGGATTTGTGTTTTTTGGACTTGGCATTTTAAGAGTGATCCCGGAGCATGGGCTGCTACTCTAGGGAAGATGTTCATTATCAAAGACTGCAGTTTAAGAAACCTCTTAACAATTAAAATATGGAGTGTTCTCTTTCTTCCCTGCCTCTATAGTAGTAATTTTATTACATTCTGGTAACACCCAGCCAAGATATATTCGACTTTTCCCCTTCCTCACAGGAAAAGGTGGACCTGGACTTCAGGGTATATACCCAGATATACCTGGGGAAGGAAGGCAAGAAGAATTACACTTAAAAAAGCCCCACGGAGATAAACGAATGTCCCCTCATCTCCAAAGGAAAGTTCGTCTGATTTTTACTCAAGAGGTCTCGTCTTCAGGATGTCATTGAACACTTCCACTGCTGGCAAAGGTGTGGATCCAAACACAGTTGATACTTATGACAGTGGTGATGACTGGGAAATTGGGGTTGGTAATTTAATAATCGATTTGGATGCTGATTTGGAAAAGGACAGACAAAAATTTGAGATGAATAATTCTACCAGTTCCAAGGATTGTGGGGGTCTTGCATCTAGTGGGGTTAATACTACCTCAGCCTTAGCTGATGGCCTAAAATTTGCGTCTGTTCAGCCCCCTGCTTCTCAGGGGAATTCTTCACACAAAGAAACTAGCAAATCAAAAGTGAAAAGGAGTAAAACTTCGAAGGATGCTAGTAAATCTCTGCCTTCTGCTGCCTTGTATGGAATTCCTGAAATCAGCAGTGCTGGCAAGAGGCAGGAAGTCCAAGGGCGCTCAGGCGAGGCATCTGGCATGAATTCAGCACTGGGTCAAAGTGTGAACAACAGCCCAAATGGCAATAACAACACCAGCAACAATAACAACATTATTGCCTCTTGTGGGAAAAATAAAGAGGAGAAACCAGGTAAAACCCAGGGCAGCAGAGGCTCCAAGAGGGATAAAGATGGAGGGAAATCCAGGAAAGACAAGCAACTTGACCTCCAGCAGGGACACCCCAGCAACAGCAGCCAAACTTCTCCTGGGCACTTGTATGGCTTTGGGGCCAAGGGAGGTGGTGCTGGGAGCAACAGTCCTTTCCACTGCACTGCCTCCACTGTGGGGGATGTGAACAAAGGTGCCCCAGAGTCAGGGTTAATGGGGAACTCTATTTTGGGGAAAAAAGAAGAGGAAGAGGAGGACAGCCACAGGCGGATAAAGAAACTGAAAACAGAAAAGGTAGGACAGAATCCATCCTTTCTTCATTTTGTGATACAACTTCCAAAACTGTGTGCACTTGTTGTTGCATTTGCATACTGTCAAATATTTCAAACTCTTCTACTTGACTAATTCTCCTGGAGGAAAAAAATTCTTTGTGTATGAGTGTTTTTGCACGAAATGGTACCCAAGCTGTAGTTTTTTATTAGTCTTGGCTTCAGAGTGTTTATCTTACAAGTTGCAGGCTTGCTTTAGGTGGTATGTGTGCGGCTTGGATGCAAGCCGTTTTTGTGTGTTGTTTACTGCCTGTATCCTAAAATGGGGGAGGGGTGACCCTTCTCTGGCATCAAAGAAATCCTTACTGTGTTTCTGTTTGGTTTGGCTTAGAATAGCAAGGAGAGATACAAAGCGGACCTTTGGTTCTTTCTGAAGCTTTTGTTTTTTGGGGCGGGGGTGGGGTGAAGTGGAGGGTGGTTGTTACTTGTACAAAAGCCAAGAAGCCTAACATAGTTCTGATACTGCTATGGGGGAGCAATCTGTCAGCAGATAGGCAATGAGTTTGTAACCTGTTTGGAAAGGAGGCAGTGGGGGAGGGGACAGACAAGCTGTACTGAGATGTGTACACAATATTTCTCTCCGAATATGGGGGAACATGTTGTCCTGTGTCCAGCAATCTCCTCTTATCTAAATTCCCAATGAGTTCCTGGATGTGAGCTGCCTGTTTATGGAGTAGGTGAAAAATGTGTGTGTTGTTCTTCCTCTCCAGTAAAGTCTGAAGGATGTACTCCGTTAAGGATAAATGGTCTTGCATCATGAGGGGAGGTGGAGAGCATTGGTTTCTCTGGGCTATTGTTATTGCTCACTGGGGCAAGGTTTGGTGTAAGCAGCAATTGTTCTGTATGCAGAAGACAGAAGGTTTCTTTGTCATCTAGGGACTGATTGTTGGCTTATAATTAAAGAGTCAAATTAATTCTACAGGTTGTTTAAACAAAGACAAGACCTTCCCCACCCCAAGACGAGCCCTTAAGGATGATTGTTTTGTCACGGTTACGTATAATTGTTCTTCCATTATTTCTTTTTAAAGTTCCCAGACTAAACATTCACAAGTGGATAACTTAAACACACACAGTTGTTTACAGGTGTCCAGGAGCAGGTTTCCACTATTTACAACATGATGGGTCGCTTGTCTTATGATTGGTTCATAATGCTTTAGTGACCAGTGGATTTGCAAGCCCCCCCCTCCCAGTACTTGTTATTTGCGAACAAATAGTTGTTTAAATATGAATTACCATCTTTGGGAGGAGATCACATTTTAATGGGTATTTAGTAGGTATATCTGTTTTGTTTGGAGTTTTGTGTTCAATTTTGCTGACACAAAGCAAATATGGGTGTGAATTGTCTATTTGATTGTTTCCTAAATGCAGATGGCGGTGGGGGGGGGGAGATGGACCCTGGGTTGATTTACTTCCTAGGTATAAGTGTTTCTGTGTTCTGGTTTAGTGAAATGCTTCTGCTTGCTCTGAAAGCTATTCTGAAATCCCGTGGTCTTTTTATTAACTCAGTACAGTAGGCATTTGCTTTTGTTGCCAATAGTCTTCAAATTGCAGTTCTCTAATCTGCTTTAACTATCTAGATAAATTGCCCTAATCCAGTCTTCACAATGGTTGTGGTTAAAGAGTCAGGGCCATTTGATTGGATTCAGTGGATGCCTGGAATGTGGGAGGTACTGCCCTTTTGTAACCCCCTTAGCCTTTTAATCTTTCAGCCAAATGTTCACATTCAACAATTTTGTTTAGCTGGCAATCTGAACATTTCAGTATCTCAAAGGCTGCTGTCATGGCAACAAGAGATTAGAGAGTGGTGTGGTTTTCTCCAGTTTTTGTGTTCCTTTTCATTCCAGTCACACAGGAAATTATATGAGGAATGAATTCATACACAAGCAAGTACATTTCAGCCAGTGTGATGTAAATGAGGTAATGTGTAAACTAGGAACAAACCTGTCTGGAGTAGCTTTTTGCTAAAGCACCACTTCACATTTCAGTTCGTGCCTTTTATAGAATTGGTGGAGCTTGAATTACCAATCACACCCACTGCTGTTGGCTTGTACTGACTTTAATGGCTTTACTTGTTAGAGCCCTGCAGTGCTGCCCATTGTCTGTCATGCTGGTGTGTTGCCTGACTGTCTAAAATGTCCCTCAGATTCTTTCTTTTCTTTTTTTTAACTTATGGGAGAAATTCCTTTCAATCAGATATTGTGCATTTGAATGAAAAACCTTGTTGCAAACAAGGTGGCAGTTTCTGATGCAGGTCTTCAAGATCATCAAGTGTCCCTTCATTTGGAAAATTAAGATTTAACCTTTCTATATTCAAGTAGCTAGCTAAATTTAGATGCATGACTAACAGAAAAACAGCATATTTCATGCCTTTAGTGTGCTTTTGCCAATGATAGATTGTCATATCAATTACGCTTTTAAACTCAAAGTTCCTGCAAATGATTTCTGAAGATAATTAAATAATTTTAAACTTTAATCTGTTCATACATGGCAGTGTTGGGTTGTGTAGTGGGTTCTGAGCAGATTCTTAAAATGTTGCAGTCTTCAGATCTAGTTTAAGTGTCTATTTTGGACTGGTTTCTTCTGTTTGTGCTGAAGATAGTCTTGCAAAACATGGTCTGTTGAATCTTAGGGAGCCCAATTCAGTCACTATTGTCTTGTGTGTTTGAATAAAATCAGAATTATTCTAGAATTCTAAAATAACCATATGCTTTCAGGTCATTTGGTGGTTCAGCCTTCATTGGCATGCTTAAATAAGTAAAACAAAGAGCAACGTTCGATGATCAAGTTTTGACAAGTGAGCAAAACTACTCATGTCATACTTGGAATTCTATAGCCTGCTCCTTTTGAACAGTCCCACATCTCAACTGTAATGGTAGTCAATAGAAATTTCTCCTGTCTTCGTTATTTTGCAATTTCTGCCATGCTTTAGCTTGTGTGGAGTTTAGATTGTCTGCTGGAGTATTTGATATAGCTTCATATATAATATGATATGTAGGTACGTTACAGTAAACGTGCCCAGTTGTGCAGTGTGCATGATACCTGGTTATTTATTTAAATATTTATATCCCACCTTTCCCCATAGCCAGGGCCGGCTCACCCGCTAGGCGAACTAGGCATTTGCCTAGAGTGCGGGCCGGCACTGGCCCCTTAGGGGCACCGAACAGGACCCTGCCTTCCCCCCCGCCAAAGCCCCAGCCCCCGCCAAAAGCCCTGCATGATGATCTGGGTTCCCTGACCGGGTGAGCGCCGCCGCTTCTGACTGGCCAGTCAGACTGCACACGGTGGCCCCGCCCCCGCCAAAAGCCCACACGCTGCCCAGAAGCCCTGCCTCTTCCCGCCTTCCTCCCAAAGACTGCCGGCGGGCCCGCCTTGCGCCTCCCCTCAGGCAGCGCCCGAGCGCATGTAGGCTCAGTGTAGCCTGGCTCAGTCGTGGTGGTGTGTACACGGGCACGGCGTTACCGGCAAGTGTGTCCACCCACCGCCCGTGGCGGGGGGAGAACGCACTCCTCCTAGGGTCTGCAGACTGGAGTCTTCCAAAGAAGCAGCGGAGCCCCCTTCCTGCTCCCCACCACCTCCCAGACGTCTCCTCTGCACACGCATCCGGCCCCTCGCTCTCCTTCTTCCCCCCTCACCTCCAGGCTGCTCAGAGCTGAGGGTGCGCTCTTGCGCCGGGCTGTTGGTTCGGCGCAGCTTCCCTCCTCCCTCCTCTCCAAACTCCCTGCTGCTGGTTTCCTTGTGCGTCGGCCGGTAGTGCCCCGATGACTCCTTATGGCCCCTCCAGGTGGTCTTCCTCTTCTGTGCGTGAGTTGGAGGCTGGGGCTCGTGTTGCAGCTGGCGTGGCTTCCTTGGGGTCTGGCTCCATGCCAAGGGGCAGTGGCAGGGTGGTCCCGACTGGTGTCAGCATCTCCAGGGACGTGTCACCATTGGGAAATCAGAAACTGGAGGAAGGGGGGGAGCGGGCTGGGAGCGGAGGAGAGGCCTCTTCGTTGTCGAATCCCTGCAAGCTCTCCTCCTCTTCCTTCTCTCCAGGCCCCGCCTGGAGGTTGGCAACCAATGTTCCCTCTAAGCTGTGGAGTCTTGTGAGCAAAAATTCTACTTTGTGAGCTGCTGGAATTAAAGTTGTGAGTGAGCGATTTGGCTGCTGTATCATTTAGTTTGCTCTGAAGCCATCCTCCCTGAGCTAAGACAAAAATGTGTGAGCTGGAGGCTAAAAAACTGTGAGCTAGCTCACACTAACTCAGCTTAGAGGGAACACTGTTGGCAACCCCTTAATTAATGGGTGCGTGTGGGGGGGGGCGCTAGAAGGTTGCCCCGCCTAGGTTGCAAAAAAACCTCGGGCCGGCCCTTCCCATAGCTGAAGTTGGCTTACAAGCTCTAATTTAAAATATACAGTACTCCTCCCCCCAAGATGCCTGTAGCCTACATGCCATTAAAAGCCCTGGCAAATAACATAGCCTTGTAGATAGATTCAGGTGGGTACCCACATTGGTCTGAAGCAGCCGAACAAAGTTTGAGTCCAGTGTCACCTTTAAGAGCCAGTTTGGTGTAGTGGTTAAGTGCACGGACTCTAATCTGGGAGAACCGGGTTTGATTCCCCACTCCTCCACTTGCACCTGGCTGGATGACCTTGGGCAAGCTGTAGTTCTGATAAGAGCTGTTCTCGAAAAAGAGCAGTTTCTGTCAAGAGCTCTCTCAGCCCCACCTACCTCAGTCGTCTGTTGTGGGGAGGGGAAGGGAAAGGAGTTTGTAAGCCGCTCTGAGACATCTTTGGGTAGTGAAGGGCGGGATATAAATCCAATCTCTTCTTCTTCTTCTTCTAAATCCAACAAAGTTTTATTCAAGGTATAAAACTTTGATAGCCTTCTAGTAACTTATAAATGCATCTAGAGACAGTGCTTCCCTCACCTCTCAGTGAGTCTGGTACATGGCTGGAAACTACCATGGAAAAAGCATAGGCTCTGTTTG